TCTGAAAAAAGTGCCTCCTTGAAACAGAACAATTTCATCAAAACTGCCATTTCCGATTTTTTTTCAAAGAGGCATATTTTTGAAAAAAGCAAAAATTGAATAAAAATTATTCTCCAAACGAAATACAAAATGTGTACATTCAATAACACTCAAAAACTATCTTGTCCGAAATAGTCTAGTGGATATGCTGGTGGGCTTCCAACTAGTACTTTTACCAGAGAATGGGTTCGAAGTGCAATGGAAGTGCAATTATATATTTTGAAAGAGAGAGAGAGAGAGAGAATGTCAAGAGGTTAATTGAATAATAACTATAAAAGAGAAATGCAGGATTGAATTGTTTTCCTTGCTGTGACTTAAAACTAATGCATTATTTAGTTTTGTCTTGGAAAGTAAAGTTATTGCATTGTTTAAATAAGTTATTTTTACATACTGTAGTTATTGCAATTTTGAATAATTCTGGTCTCTTAGTTAGTAGCCAAGATTTGATTTGAAACAAATGAAATGTCTTGGATGTAGCACTAACAGTTTGATTATGAGACGCAGTTTTATTTCATGAAAAATATTTCCGCACGATGTCTACAGTATATCTTTCAAAATGCTGCTTTGGTTATTGTGCTTTTTGTTGTTCCATGCAAACTTTTTAGCTCACCTGAGCCGAAGGCTCAAGTGGGCTTTTCTGATTACATTTTGTCCGGCGTCCGTCTGTTTGTCTGTCTGTCTGTCTGTAAACTTTTCACATTTTCGACTTCTTCTCCAGAACCGCTGGGTCAATTTCAACCAAACTTGCCACAAAGTCCTTTGATGAAGGGGACTCAAGTTTGTTCAAATGAAGGGCCACGCCATCATTCAAGGGGAGATAATTGGGAATTAATAAAAATTGGGTGGCATGTTTAAAAAATCTTCTTCTCAAGAAACACTGTGCCAGGAAAGATGAAACTTATGGGGAAACATCTTCAGGTAGTGTAGATTCAAATTTGTTCAAATCATGACCTCTGGGGGTAGGGCAGGGCAACAATGGCCGACCAAAGTTTTACATTGAAATATATAGGAAAATTCTTTAAAAATCTTCTTCTCAAGAATAGCAAAACCATAATTGCTCATATTCATATAGAAGCATCCTCAGGTAGTGTAGATTTAAGTTTGTTCAAATCATGACCTCCGGGGGTAGGGCGGGGCCAAAATTTTACATAGAAATATATAGGAAAATTCTTTAAAAATCTTCTTCTCAAGAATCGAAAAGCTATAATGGATCATATTTATAATGAAGCATCCTCCGGTAGTGTAGATTCATGATTTTGTTTAAATCATGACCCCCAGGGGTAGGGCGGGGCCAAAATGACCGACCAAAGTTATACATAGACATTTATAGGAAAATTCTTTAAAAATCATCTTACCAAGAATAGCAAAGCCATGATTGGTCATGGGACTACTTTAGGATTTAAACTTTTCAATAATAAACCAATTTCTGCTTTTCCTAGCCACAGTGCTCAGGTGAGCGATGTGGCCCATGGGCCTCTTGTTCGTGCAAAACGACGAAAGTGCTCTGCTGTATCAAGCAGGAAACACTCGTCGTAAACATAGTCCTCTACGTAGCTGTATCTATATTTAGACATAACGAGGGTATTAAATGTCCTTCTCGATATGTTCAGGGAATAATCACGAGTTTCTGCAACACCATCTTTGTTCATGACCTAAATATAGTATCCGAATTATGCATTCACCGCGTGACTGTCCATCGATGGGACCAAACTTCATACAGTACAGAGTGGGTTATTCTATGCTATAAGTATTTAAGTTCTGTGATAATAAAACAGCTTAATTAAAATAAATTCAGTTTCCAAAAAAAACCCTTGTTTGAACATCTATTTTCCCTTGATTTCTCATATAGTAGGCCTGTATGCCCTTGCACTATCCCCATTTCCTTCATTCAACTTAACAATTCTATTTTTATACAAGTCACGTGACAAAAAGCTAAACATGCGATATAACTGTGCTGTGTAGGGCCAAGTCCTGTCCATTATGGATAACTATCACGATTCTCCACAAGGGGTTTAACCATGGCGGCCCGCCATGGTTAAATCTATGTGCGTTATGCATGATTAAAATCGGCTGCCGCCATGGTTAAATTTTATTGCATTTCAGTCCTGACACCTACTTTTTAATGACTTAAGTAGTTAATTGTGTTTATACTACGACTGCCATACACCTCGCATGCCTCGAGGAAAAACCAGGTTTTGCTAAAACAAACACTGCAATATAAAGAAAAATAGAATATTTAGAAAAGGGACACTGGTCCAAATCTTCGTTTGTGTGTTAACTTAAATGAAATACTACCCAATCATCAGATTTAGTCATATTTAAACAAAACATTTCATACAACAGGCTGCAAAAAGTCTGAATAAAATTGCCATGGTTACTGTATCAAAAGTTTTTCTTTAAATTCCTTCAAAAGGTAACTACAATTTTGGGCAAATTTTGATACATTTGTGAAGTAAGCTTAATAATCTTTTTTTTTTAAATTTAAAATTATTTTCAGCTTTTGAAAGTGTTGGCTATTTCAACATTTTGGTGTTTCTGTGGTTAAAGTTTAAAAATTAAAAATCAATCTTTGATTATTGAAGGTTGGGATGACTAACACGTTTTCGTGTTTTTGGTCACATTTAACCTTCGCGCAGCTTCCTCCTTGGTTAAATTTCCAAATGTGGAGAATCCTGACTATATTACATTTTCTACGGGTATTCAGTAGCTTTGTTACAATTTTAAAAAAGAAATAATGTATATTAAAACAGTACGTGCTAAGGTCACATTTTCCATATCGGTCCTTAACATAGCCGAGAGCCATCTGTTGACCAAACTTGCATAGATGATACATCTAAGGATGCATACTACCAAACTTGCTTTGGATGCTGAATCTGACATACTTTGCCGCATGCGTAAACACGTTAATGTTTTTGTTGCAGGTTTCATTTCAAAGATATTATGAGCCCTATTATGACCAATCTTGCATGCATGGTATATCTTAGGATGCATACTACCAGACTTGCTTCGAATGCTGAAACTGACCTTTTTATCCGGTTGAGTGATCAGGTTAGTCTTTGGTGCAAGTTTCATTTAACAGATACTATTAGCCCTATAATGTCAAAACTTGCGTGGATCTTAAGAGACATACTACCAGACTTGCTTCGGATGCTGAATCTGACCTACATTTTCCAGTTAAAAAAATGTTTAAGTTTGTGATGCAGGTTTCATATCGAAGTTATTATGAGCCCTATAATTACTAAACTAGCATGGATGATACATCATAGGATGTATACAACTAGACTTGCTTTGGATCCTGAATCTGACCTACATTTCCCGGATGAGTGAATAGGTCAAAGTTTTTGGTGCAGAATTCATTTCCAAGTAACTGAGCTTTTTAATAACAAACTTGCATGGATTATACATCTAAGGGTGCATTTTACCAGGCTGGCTCGGATGCTGATTCTAACCTATATTTTCTGGATTAGTGAAAAGGTTAGTTTTTTATACAGGTTTCATTTCCAAGTAACTTTGAGAAATGTGTGAAGCAAACTTGCATGGATGATACATCTTAAAATGCACACTAATGGACTTCAGATGCTGAATTCGACATACATTTTTCAGATAATGGACCTGACTGGTAAAAGTTATGGGTGCAGGTCTATTACCAATTAACAATAGCGCTCATATAAACCAAACTGATGTATCAAGAAATAAAACTCTCAAACTTGCTTCAGATGCTGGGTTTTAATTATGTTTTCATGATGATGAAGTAGTTTGAAGTTTTTATAAAGGTCTATTCCATAGTATCAAATCAAAATTGCATAATTTTTTTCATTTTCGGATGAACACATTTTGTTGGCTAATTGTGTGACTTTGTCTTACTTAAAGACAACATTCGTTGAGGTAAGCTCTATAATCTATGACTACCTATATTTTAAGATTGTGTCAAAAACTAAAGAACATTTTTTTATATTTCACATAGGTTGCGACACACCTTTTTCCGGAGATTTATAAATTTGACAAGTTTATGAGTTTCAGGTCTTTCTAGTTATAAACCGAAAAGATTTTTTTCATATTTGGCTAAAGCATCTTAATTAAAGGTCAGAGCGACTTAGCTACTTTTAGTGCGTGCCATACATTCTAACCAAAATGTATCAACTGACAGGATTGAGAATTGGAGACCTAAATGTATCAAAGATATGACCCATGCAGACATTAAAAGGCTAACAGACGAACGGACGGACATAGAGACTATAACATAATACACCCGTCTTAAGACAGGCGTATAAAAAATCCCGAAAAACAAAAACGTTAACACGCATACATGCATAAAGAATGAAGACGTCTGCAATGAATGATTACCTATGTATAGTGTTTATAGAATAAAGTTAAATTTATAATAAAAATATTCTAACTTCAACATAATATCATGGATACTTTGGGCACCTTTAATTTATTACATGTAGTTATGAACATTTCTTATATTATCCTCAGGGAATAATAACTAGATTGATTGATTGATTGTATATTGTTTAACGTCCCTCTTGAGAATTTTTCACTCATATGGAGACGTCACCGTATGCCGGTGAAGGGCTTCAAATTTAGACCTATGCTCGGCACTCAGAGCCATTGAGCATTGAGGGTTCTTTATCGTGCCAGCGCCTACCGTGACACGGGACCTACGTTTTTAAGGTCATATCCGAAAGACCCGTGACTTTCACTTCTGATGCCGAGCGCTTGGCGAAGGAACAGTCGCTACCTATTTTTACGTCTTAGGTTTGACGCGGCGCCGGGAACGAGAATCGAACCCGGGCCTCCCGATCACGAAGCGAACGCTCTACCACTAGGCTACCGTGAACGGTAAATAATAACTAGATTATGCACACATAATGAAAATAATTCATTAAATGGCGTGTCATAGTTAGGCAAAGTACTACATGTACATTTGATGAAGACAAAATTTACTGTTTTTCTTTCAGGCAATTAATTCATGTGAGAAATCTATTCCTACTCTCGCCTACGTAAAAGAATGTCCAAAAACGGAGGAAGAATGGTTTGCTGCAGCTAAACGAAAACAATGTGATGTTGTAGAGCAGAGTTGTTCTACTGCAGACAATTTTCAATACCACTGCGTAATCAACCCTTATGCTAATGCCACAGTCGAAGTATGTGCTCCTGTCCGGAATATCATCGGTATGTGGCTGTAGATAGATAGAAATATGTATTTGATGCATATTCGTGTACGTTTTTTTAAATGCATTAATGCATGCACAAAATCTACTGAGTAATGGACTGCTTATTCATAGTTTTTTTTTTTGCAAGATCTTCTTCATTATTTTCAAGTATACTTTGCATAAGGATTGTCAAAAGGTATGTGTTATTTTTTTCTCACACAGGACACTGTGCAGAATACAATTACGGGAGAAAAAGCATTCAAGATCACCAAAACTTTAAATGTAAGACCTGTCCTTTGACGTACCGATCAACAGATGCATATAAATGTAATTCATAAGTTGAAACCAGTATAATGTCAAATCAGTTACATTTTTCTTACAAAAAAAACTTTCCTTATTTCATTTGATTGAACAGGTCTCAATTCACAAGTACGGATTGTTAGATTTTTAATATCTTTCACGTTAGCGATATGAGAAACAAATTCATGTTAAACAGGTATCTTGATTTTTTTTTTGGCTTCTTCATAAATGCGTCCAATGTTTCCCATGTGTTTGTAGAGAAATTGCCACATAGTATAGGTAAGATTTTTTTATTTATTACAGGAGTGTCATATTTTTCAAATGAAATATTTTTGAACAGATCAAGAATGTTATGATATTGTGACGAAACAAAGTGAAGAGATTTTTAATTCAACGACAGAGAGGTAAGCTATCTTTGATTCTTTTAAAAAGATATATAAGATTATTCATTGAATAGATATATATCTGAATAGCGATTTCTCTGCTGGCATATTACTTGTTTTGGCAATGGAGCAATAGTTATTGATAATGTCAAGTTCGTATCACTAAAATATGTTATTTATATCTTGTACCGTGAAGCTGGTCTAATCCTTATATTGTGTATTCAAAAATCTTGTCAAATAGGATATATTTACATTTGAAAATATTTCTCTTAGATAAACAATTGAAGAGAAGATATATTCAATTCTGTATGAACTTTTTTGGGGGGTCATAGGTCAGAGCGTGACAGAATCACATGGCGAGATGATATTTTGCCGAAATATTTATGTCATGGTGCAAGTAGATTTGAAATATTTCTAAATTATTAGCTACAAAAAAGAAAACATGATTGAAACACAAATGCCATTCTTTATTGGATAATCTTCAATCAAGAGATTCTTGCGATGCAAATTTGTTTTGAATACTATAAATAGCCTAAAACCGCACTAATCTTTTAAAACCCGAAATTCCGTTAGAGTTATGTAATAAAATTAAAATTAGCGATACCACCGCTTTTGACTTCAAATATATGTAAGGAACTCATGCAATAAGACATTTAAGATTATTTTTAGAAGCGATCATTGTTCTTTCATTATAAACAGAGATCTCCTAGTCTGGACTGCTGACGATTAATGTAAACATTCAAATGTCGGAGCGAGACAAACATTCAAGACCAAACAACATTTCGGTCATTGCACTTCACCACATAGCAATACGACGGCCGGTTAGTTTAATTAATGCAGTTTTACTCGTCTCAAATGTAAATATAAGCAATAAACAACACAGCTGTTAAAAAGTTCACTGGCAAATGAAATTAGCTGGTACTTGAACTAATCTACTGAAAAGCACTTCAGGCTTTACAGGATTTGAACACGTGACCAACTAAGTTCATATCCCAGAGAACAATTTAACATTGTGGGTTTTTCTTAAATAAACTTATAATCACTTTCAATGATCTTAGGTCTAATAAATGTTTTGTAATCCGAGATGTTGTTTAATCCAGCCAAATAATTTAGAACCCGTTGTGGCTGCATTAGGATATTTTAATTTTATTTGTATTCCTTGATATTGTTAAAAAAAGACAGTCAATATAGGTTAAATTTGATTTGTCTTTATTAACCGTTTACAATGGGCGAGACGTGGTAGGGATGAGGTTTCAGGCTAAAAGTATAATGGGAGCTTTATCAACATACAAGAATATGAATTTACATAAATGTATTATTAGTGTCCCCTGTTGAAAGTGGGTGGGGTATTCATTTAGTTTTTTCTGAAGACCCATCTTTCTGTATCTCTGAAGTTCTGTCTGTCTTTTCCAACTTTTAGTTTTTACACATTATCTCGCAAAGCCTTAAAAGTTTTGCAATGACATTTTACACAATAACCCCCACTGGATTAGGTTAAATCCTTTTAGATTTTGAGGTCAAAAGTCAAGGTCACAAATTTAAAAAATGCCTGTTTTCATTTCTTGCGATATCTCGAGAAGTTTTTGAGATTTTGCAATGGTATTTAAGGTAGGACACAATAGATAGGCCAAATTTTTCCTCAAATTAAATTTTCCTGAAACTTTGATAATTTGTTCTAGGATACAAAATCTCTCTTTAGGTATGATATGAAAGAAATTCAACCGCACATTTTTTGCCCACATAGTTTGATATATGGCCTATCAGATCCCCGTACGAAGATTGTGAAATCAGACATTAGACTTGAGAATGAGCCTTTTTTTAGAATTATCAATTAGTCTTTTGCAAATTTGTGTAATACTTTTAATAAAGATATACTTTTTGTTGCTTTAAGCTAGTAAGTCAACTTGATACTGGAAAATTTAAGTAAAATATTAAGTAATAAAAGAACATATGTAGCGTCGGAATTGAAAATTCATATGTAAATATCACACAGTTTAAGTTTTCTAAAGAGAAAATGTATCATTCAATTTTTCGAAAAATCAACAGAATTATCAAAATGGGTCCTAGAATGAAATGTGTAAAAATTAAGAAAATTAAACCGGCGGTTTTAGATATTTTTGTGATCAAAAAAATTTAAATGGCAAAAAAACTAAAAGATTCAGTAGATGACGTCAGAATATTTGACCTTTGACCTCTTGATATGATCTTGACCTTTGTAGTACATAAAGAATGGAGACTCCTTATATACGTGTCCAAATATCATTCCTCTACTTTGCATGGGTAAAAAGTTACACGACATTTAATAACAGACTGTCACATGCTTTTTTTATTACACTTAGTTACAGTCCCTGAAATGTTCTACTTTCACATTTTTTCTTTCGCTCACCATTTGTTCAACGTTCGTTCAGCGTGCGTTCACCGTTCGCTCTTCATTCACAGTATTGCGTTCACTGTTCACCGTGCACTCGCGTTCACCGTTCACAAAACGTTCAACGTTCGCTCTTCGTTCCGTTCACTTTGCGTTCACCGTTCACTTATCGTTCAGTCTTCATTGTCATTCGGAACTCCGAAGTTAAAGGACTTATCTTTTTGATGGTAAGGATTTACACGTTTTTAATTAAATAACTTTGATATCGTGTTTGAAGAATAATTATTTCATTGCAAAAATTATCTATGATATTTATATTTCTATTATTATAACTCAGCTGTTACTTTTTTCATGAAATTTCCCTGGAAAATAACACATTAAGTACCTACACGTATGTAGAGCGATGCTCATATATTAAACTAAAAAAGGGGCAATGTACAATTAAATGCTTCATGCACGGCATCAATTTGTTGTAATTTTAAAGAGGACAAATTATTAATGGATGTACATGTATGATAATTAATCCAAGTCTTTTACAGGACAAGAATGCATAAAAAATATTTCTACAGTAATACGTATTTTAAACTACACGAAGGTTTGAGAATTATGACCAGTACTGCAAATATTCAGTTAATTAAATATCTCTAGAGCTAGTAAATTGATAGTGTGGTTTTGAATTTTTGAAAAGACCAACTGTTTAAAGTAGTCTATTATTAGAGCAGGAAAATCCCTTCCTTCACTGTACCTAAACATATGTTTAAATATATGTTTGCCATTAAGTATAATTTAGACCCCCCTCCCCCGGTGCCTTTTCTCTCGAAATAAAATTCTTAGAGTTTTTCAGTATATTTAAAAAAAATTTAATGTGTATTGTAACACAAGAAAACCAGTCTTAAGACCAACATCAAAAAGTCATCAAACAAATTTATAGTATTTTAGAATAAACTTTTGCAGACAGTAATATTTTAAATTGGCAGGGAATATGTTTCGAATTCAATTTAAAACTTAATCCTTCCACGTATATTTTCCCATTATTTATTTATTTTTTTTTTCTGTAGGAATGCAAAAATCAGAAATGATAGGGAAAATTTAAAAATAAAATACTAAGTGACCCTTTGCCTTCGGCATGTTCGGTGAAACGCGATTTCCAAACCTCCACTGTGTCGAATTATTTTGATTCACAGGACAAACACGCTACTAACACGAACTTCCTGTGAACTGTGTGAACTTGATGATAGAAAATAAAAGCCAATGATTTCTGTCAAATGGATTTTTAAATATAAAAAAAGATTATTTTTACTGCTTGGAATATTTAGGAAAAATAATAAGAATTTTTATTTGATACTACAGATATCTGAGTATCGAGGGGGTTATCTCTCTCTCTCTCTCTCTCTCTCTCTCTCTCTCTCTCTCTCTCTCTCTCTCTCTCTCGTACATTTCTCTGTTTAATAAAAACTATGACAGCACATTACTTATTTAGTTTTGAAAATTTAATCTATTACAAATAAATTGAATGCCTCTTTCCAAAATCTTGACCGAGTATAATCACGATCGAGGAATGTCTACAGATACATGAAGAAGTTAGCTAAAATAATCGTCATAAAAGAATACAAAAGGCACATAAATATGGAATATTTTTCATTAGCATTTAAATAAAACGAGAGTACGATAACAGTCAACGTCAACAGATAATTGCGAATTTAAAAAAATCCGTTATTTTACCCTGAATTGCCTTGGCACGGAAATACATGTTTGGTTGTTTCAACCGCGTACAATGTAATTAATTCATTCTATCAGTAGTAGTTTTATCTTCAGAAGTCCACATTATTTTATTAGTGAAAAGAATAAGCATATTTACTATATAAATAGATTAATTTTATATTTAATCTACACGCGTTTGGAAACTAACACGTTTTACGGCAATTAAAATCGTGTTATAAAAATATCGATTTAAAACATAGGTACATATATGTACAGAACAAAATTTTTTTAAAGTACTTATTTATTTATTCATTCATTTATTGTTAATTTATATTTAAGAGCCTGAAATTAGAATTATAGAATGATAGAATAAACTCAATGCAAGGAAAAGATGGAGGCATTCTGAATAAATCGTTCATCTCGCGTGCGCGCTCCGTTCGCGTTCTGCGTTCACTCACCGTTCACCGTTCACACATCGTTCACCAAGTTGCGTTCAGCCTTCGCACATCGTTCACCCACCGTTCGCTATGCGTTCGTTCACCGTTCGTTCAGCGTTCGTTCACCGTTCTGGTGGGAAAGTAGAATGTTACAGGGACTGTAGCATAAAAAACATTCCAAAATGTAAACCCTCAAGTGACTAATATATACTTTAGGATTTTCTGATATTTTCACAAAATATGAGTCAAACATGCCAAAAACATATTATTTTTCTTACAGGGATCATTCATTGTTGTCAATATAATAATATTTTTTTTCCAGTACTTTTTAAGACATAGGTTAAAATAGAATCAACGGGTGTTTTGTCCTACCTTAATTAACTTTATACCACAATTCCCTGTAGCCAAAGACCTCCATTCATTTTGAGGTAAAAAGGTAAAGGTCTTAAATTCATACTTTCTGTGAATATATTCTGTGCAAAACTTTCCTTCCAGGCGAAATCTCATAAAGCTTT